TATCCCCTTCTTCCTTTCTGTGAATATATTTCTTTTACATTCCCTTTTCTTTCTCCTTTAAAACAGAACTATTTCACCCTCAGCACTTTCATATTTGTTATTTAATTCCCTTGATTCCCTTTGAGGACATTAAGGTTCTGAAGGGACATTTGTTTCTTTCCCTCCATTAGAATGTTAGCACTCCATCATCATAACGCAACTTCTAATTACTCAAATTTACCTTTCTAGGTTTTTCTGGACTGTTGTGTTTGTATTTCAAAGCTTCTATTCTTCTCTGGTTTTTTAATCAGGAATGCCTGAAAAGCCTCAATTCCAACAAAAATCCATTTCCTCCCCTTTAGGATGACACTTAGCCTTGCAGGATATATTATTTTTGGTTGTAAACCAATATCTTGTCTTTCTGAATTTTATATGCCAAGATTTCCTCTTATTTTTAGTAGGTACTTCTAGGTCTTATGTGATCCTTGGTATTTGAACTCCTTTCTGGATGCTTACAGTATTTTTTGCTGTGGGAGCTCCGGATTTTGGTTATAACATTACTAGGACATGTACTTTTGGGGCTCTTTTTGGAAAGTGATAGGTGGATTCTTTCTATTCTTTCCCTTGCCCTCTGGTTCTAACAGATTTGGGCCATTTATGACTTGAAATATATTGTCCAAGCTTTTTTTAATATAATGGTTTTCAAGGAGTTCAATGATTCTTAAATTCTCTCTCCTTGTTTCCTGGTCAGTTGCTTTTAATATCTTACATTTTCTATTTTTTTTCAATCTTTTGATTTTGTTCAAATATTTCTTGCTATCTCATGGAATAATTGATTTCTGTTTGGTTTATTCCAGTTTTCAGGGAGTACATTTCATATTCTCCTCCTAATTCTTTCCTCCAGAACTTTTAATTAAAAAAAAAAAGATCTTAATTTATTCTAGGTAATTCATGTAATCCTTGTGGAAAATCCATTTTTTCCTTTGAGTAACAACTGTTTGCAATTGTTACTTTCTTCTTTTTGGAGATCTCTAGAGTCACAGTAATTTTTGATACTGGTTGGTAGTTTTCAAAAATTTTACTTATCTCTTACTTAATACTCTTATGGAATAGGGTCAGACTCTGCCCTCTGCTGATGCTTTTGTCTGAGGTAGTCAGTTCTGTATGGCTTACCCTGGGGCCCCTGAGTTGTGGTTGGTTTTTTAACTAACTTCCACCTCCTAGCTTAGACCTCTTTAGATCTGTTGAAGTTCAGAGCACTGGAAATTCAGGACCCTCTCTGTCATCTCAGAACAGATTGTTAGGGATAAGGGTATGCTGGTAATTGTTTAAGAACTGACTCTCCAGGGAAAAAAGTACACAGGACACACATTATTAACATTTTCTCTCTCATTTAAGTCCAGACTATTAATAACATAAATCAAGTAAGCTGATTTCTGAGGTGAAAATACTCACACTGAAAATTTAATAATCAACTCTTGAAGGTGGATTCTAGTTGGCCCCAGCAAATCCCTGGTTAGAGCCCAGAGCCCTCAGGCCTAGACTGTCCTGGTCTGAATGCCAGCAGTGGTCAGGAGCCACAGCTCCCCTGTACTTTCAAGATCCCCACCCTGTGGCTTTCTCGGAGGAGCTCTTCTTACTCCAGGAAAGCCTTTTAAGCTACACATGTAGCTGACCATACTTGGTCGTCTCTTGTCACTCTGGGAAGGGATGCTGGGATGATGCTGGCTTTACTGGTGGGAGTACCCCTAGTCCTATGGCTCTTAGGCTCCTGGCTTATTTCTTGTGTAGTTTTGAAGTGGAAAAAGTCACTACGGTTTTTCATTGCATCATTACACAATTTGATGCAAACTTCAGAGTTTTGCTGGAGCAATTATATGAGAGCTGGCTGGTCTGTCTTTGATCTTGGCAGGAAGTTGGTAGTGTTACCTTCTACTGGCTCAGGTTTGAGTCCTATCTATTTCCATTAACTTGTAAATAAAACTGGTCATGTTTTGAGCCTTGTGAACCTGTATGATTATTAAGGGAACAGAAGCTATCCTTGGGGAATCCTAGAGACTTCCAGATCATTTGGATGAGGGCTACAAATTGCAAAGGGGGACCCTTAGTGTCAGGAGGGAGCCTCTGCCAAAATTTTTACCCCTTTAATTTACATACACATTTTACATCACACCTACATACACAACCTCTGCTTCAGACATCATCACAAATTTGTAAAATAAAGGGGTGTGTTGTTGTTTGGCCCACGTCTGATTGTTTGTGACCCCATTTGGGGTTTTCCTGGCAAAGACACTGCAGTGGTTTGCCATTCCCTCCTCCAGTGGATCCATTTTGCCAGACAACCAGAGGTTAGGTGACTTGCCCAGGGTCACATAGCCAGGAAGTATCTGAGACAGGATTTGAATTCAGGTCTATCCTGACTCCAGGCCCAGTGCTCTCATCCACTGAGTCATTGGCTATCTCCTAACAATAAAAACAACACATTTCATATCATACCTTCCTTCCACCCGCCTCAGATTTTATCACAAACTTAGTGTTTAAGTCAATGGTTGTTCTCATACAGTTAGTAATGACTCATTAAAAATGCTAAAGCTAAAACTAAGACTAGGCTAGACAATGGTCATTGAAATAAAGCCAAACTCCATGGTAGAATCATCATAGAAACCATCAAAACACATCAACCTGGAGGCACTTTCTGTGACTATTCTAGACCCCCCTCTGACTTCTTGGGTTTTTTGGATATCTTTTTTATTTTCTCCCTTACAACTGTAAGTGAGGGATGGGGCAAGGGAGGTGTGTGTGTGTGTGTGTGTGTGTGTGTGTGTGTGTGTGTGTGTGGAGGGGTGGTGGCAGGGTAGTGACTGGGTGTAATAAACTCAATCTTACTTGATTATTAAAGGTTGGATGGAGGTACAGAATGATCACTGATATAGTACTGAAGAATCCACCTAGTTCAATCTTAAACCTGAGGCCCAGAGTGGTAAAGTGACTTGCCTCAGGTTCAGGTCTTAGGTGACAAGGGTAGAATTTGAACACAGGTCTGAAGACACCAAATCCAAGGTTCTTTCCTGCACCACACTACTTCCGGACACAAACTTCTTAGGGACATATAATCCTCATCTTGGTGGTTGACCCTCTGTGTCATACTGTCAGACCGTATTACTCAGACTTTGGGGATCACAGGAGTACATAGGGAAGGAGTGTGAGTGTGTGTGTTAGGGAATAAGTCTAGAATACCAACAAATACCTTCTCTCCTTGGAAGGAAGGTGGACGAAGGCCTTAGGATTCGAGTTGTGTGTCCACGGGTGGATGAGGGAGGATGTGTGTGTGTAGGTGAATGAGGGCAGTAAACAGTGTGTGTGTGTTGTACCTGTGGTGGAAGAGGGCAGTAGCGTGTGTGTTGTGCCTGTGGGAAGATGTGGGCAGTCATATGTCTAGTGGGTGTGTGTGTGTGTGTGGGGGTGACCATGGGTGGATGAAGGAGGATGTATGTTGTATATCTGCGGGTGAACGAGGGCAGGAAAGAGTGTGAGTGTGACTGTGTCTGTGTGTGTGTGTGTGTTGTGGCCGTGGTGGATGAGGGCAGTAGTATGTGTGGTGGCCTGTGGGAAGATGTGGGCAGTCATATGTCTAGTGGGCGTGTGTGTGTGTGTGGGGGGATGACCGTGGGTGGATGAAGGAGGATGTATGCTGCATGTCTGCGGGTGAATGAGGGCAGGAAAGAGTGTGAGGGTGACTCTGTATATGTATATGTGTGTGTGCGGGTGTGTGTGTGTGGGGGGGTGACCATGGGTGGATGAAGGAGGATGTATGTTTTATGTCTGCGGGTGAACGAGGGCAGGAAAGAGTGTGAGTGTGACTGTGTGTGTGTGTGTGTGTGTGTGTGTGTGTGTGTGTGTGTGGGCGCGCGCGTGCGTGTTGTGCCCGTGGCGGATGAGGGCAGTAGTGTGAGTGGCGTGCCTGGGCCAGATGTGGGCAGTCATGTGTCTCGGGGTGTGTGCGCGCGCGCGGTTGGATGAGGGCAGTCGCGTGCGCGCGTGCTCGCTCCCTGGCCCGCGCGCCTCCTTTGCCGAGTTGCCCCGCCCCCTTCCTTCCCCTGGAAGGATCCCGGGAGCCGGCGGGAGGGGCAGGGAGCCGCTGGTGCGCGCGCGCGGGCAGCCAGAGCTCCAGCGAGACCTGGAAGGTCCGCGTTGGCCGAAGGGGAAGCAGTGGGGCGGGGGTAGAAGGAGGAGGAAGGCTGGGGGAGGAGGGGCTCCCTGCGTCTCACCGCCTGGCGGACTGGGCGGGTCGCGGTGACGTAGGCAGGCGCCTGGGCTGTGCACTGGTTGTGGCGGCGGCGACAGCGACAGCAGCCTTGGAGGTGGTGGCGGCGGGGGAGCAGCAGCAGCAGCAGCGGCCGCGGCCGCCGGAACAGCAGCAGCAGCGGCAGCAGCAAGCAGCAGCAGCAGCGGCCGCAGCTGCTGGGGCTGGAGGCACCGCGGGCGCCCGCTCGGCTCGGCCGGCGGTCGAGCGTCTCGCCCCTGCGGAGCTCGCTGCTTCTTGCGTCTCGGCCCGGGCGGAGCCTGCGGCGGGACGAAGCGCCCCCAGGGAGGGAGGTGGGGCTGGAAGGTGAGGCGCCGGGGACCACCTCCTCCGTTCCCCTCCCCCTCTCCTCCGCGGCCGCCGCCCCTCCCCCGCCGGGCGGCCCCACCCTATCGGCTCGCGAGACTGGGCGGAGACGGAGGCGGCAGGTTTGGGGGATACCCGGGGAGGATGCGGGGATCGGGGAGCGCGGGGCTGGACCTCGGCCGGGCGCAGGCTGGGGGAAGATGAGAGGCGGGGGGCGTGGGAGTGGGGGTGGGGAGATGGTGTGGGGGGGCAAGCACGAGGTTCGGTCGGGTTGATTCGGGGGATTCAGAGGGGACTGATGATGTGAATGAAACTGCTGAGGAAGCGGAGGATTCCTTACTATGCCTTTGAAGCGGTGGAAGGAGATACTTCTGCAAGCCTCCGCCCCCAACCCCCTACCCCCAGCATTTTAAAATATGCTGCTATTATTCTGAGGGAAGGTGCAGTGATGAATGGATCTGAAGTGAAAAGCGCAGAGGTGAGATCATGTGTTGGAAGACTCAACTCTGAGCAGCAAGCCCGGGAGGGCCAGGTCTTAGCACACCTGCTTTCCAGAGGTGACAGCTGCTCCTTTCCCTGCATCCACTTATAAAGCCTGCTTTACGCGGACCTCCGGTGTATATTTATAAGGTTTCCTGGCCTTTTAAGAGAGGGGCAACCCAGAGCTGCAGTGAGGCCTTGGGAGCAGTGATTCTAAATCACTTATATAGGCATTTCTGGATGACAGTTTACAGTGGTTGTCGGAGAATGTTGTCTACTTCATTCTGCGAAATCTGGTTTCATTGGAATGGATATTTGAAAAACGATTAAAAATACAGCTGTATAGTTTTAAACGATTGACACCTTGTATTTGACAGCTTCTTAAAAATGAAGTTGTTCTTTGTCAGTGATTAGCAGAGATTTAATTAAGTATCTGATTAAAAATGAAGTATTTCTCCAAATAGGCCCTTTAACTTTTGAGAAGTTTTTGGCGTTCTTATATTTACTGTGCTTGGCAATGTGCATTGCTTTCCAGTAAAATTTATAATCGCATTTTGCAGGAAAATGTGAAAATCCCATCATAGAGAGATGTTACCCAAGATGCTACCTACATTTTTGTTTTAAACTTATTGTTAGCACAGTAAGTAAAACTTTGCTGACTTAGATTTGCTTCCTTTCTGTTTAGAGTTCACAATGAATTGACCTTACCTACTACCTATTAGTGAATGGAAGTAGGTGTGACTGATATTTCTTCCAGTAGTTCTCATATACAGGATAAGAAACAGTTCCAAAAGAAAATGTAGAGAATAATTTCCCATAGATTTGTCTGATTTTGGCAAATAAATCACTACTACCAAAATAATCAGAGAAGTGCTTTCTGAAAGCACCTGTCAGTTTCAGTAAAATAGGTATAATTCATTGTTCTTTCTTTCTTAAGTTGGCACTTAACTGAGCAAGCTATTTCATATCTTATAAACAGGAGGATTGCTTATAGCACAAATTGGTTGGAAATAAGAGGATGTAATAAGTATTAACTAAGAAAAAGTGTGATTCCAATTTTAACTATAAAGAAAATATTTAACCATTTTTAGGGAAATCAAGTATAAAATGGAATTATACAATGACTTTTTGTTTTTGAGGTAGCAGGAAAATTAAAGTCTATATATCTAGTTTAGAGTTTTGAAAATTTTTTTAATACTATTCAGTGAGAGTAGATACAAACAAAATATGAAATAAGTTGTTAAATGAAATTTTCTAAAGTAGTGCTAATAGAATGATATTTGCAGGACTGTTAGTAGGACAGCATCTTTATTTATTCAGTTCAAGAAACATTAAATACCTGCAATATCCTAGGTTCTTGGGATACAAAGAAAAAAAACAACCCAGTCCCCTGAAAAATTACTTGCTCTTAAGAAGCTTGACATTTTGAGTCACATTTTAAATGTGAGCTAGGCAGAAGATGAAGGCCACTTATTTCTGTTGAATGGCATATGATTGAAGGAAATTTTTGTATATCTTGCTTTTCACTAGTGCTACTTGCTGCTCATCATGGCTTTCTTATGTAAATATTAAGGTGTTTTTTCTGTTACTTAGTGGAATCACAGATAAGATGTCAATCTTTTCATTCATTTTTAAAGTTGCTACTGAGAGGCAATGGAGAACTAGCTTTATGAAACCCAGGAGAGCTGAATTCAAGTACTGCCTCTGACATGACCTTGGGCAATTCACTTAATTTCTCTTGTGTTCTAGGTAGGTCTCTTTAAGACTAAAACTTGCAGAGATCTACTTGCCTTGGTAGAGTGAGTTTCTAGGTCCTGGAATTCTCTAAATCAATGAAACCATGGTTCCATTCCTTTTTACTATTCCATACTATAAATATAAAAAATTTAAATATGTAAAATCCTTTTGCTTGATTCAAAACCTTTCATAGGCTGCTCCCTATCTTTCTAGTCTTCTTACACCTTATACCCCCCCCCCCCATTTAACCCCATTAGTGACACTGGTCTCCTTGAACAAGACACTCATCTCCCTACTCTGGGCATTTTCACTGGGTGTCACAGATGCATGGAATACTTTCCCTCCTCATCTCTGTCTCATGGTTTCCTTCAAGTCCCAGCTAAAATCTACAGCAACCTTTCATGATCTCTCTTAATGCTAGAGCTCTCCCTTAGGTGATCATTTCCTATTTATCCTGTATATAGCTTGTTTGTATGTAGTTATTTGCATTTTATCTCCCTCATTAGATTGTAAACTCATAAGAGCAGGGACTGTCTCTTACCTTTCTTTGTATTCCTGGAGTTTAGCACTGTGTCTGAGGTACACAGTAGGAGCTTAATACATGACTGACTGACCCCATTAACTCTATACATCTAAAATGAAATGGAAAGTTCTCATGGCAACAGCTGAGTTTTTTCAAACTGTACTCATGCTTTGTAGACAGCTTTCTTAAGATGATAAGATGCAAAAGTTGCTGATCTGCATTGGTAGAGGGAGTTTCTTCACCTGGAGTTCCCTATGCTAATAAAATTGCAGATCTGGACAAGTACTAACACAAATGATTCTACTTTATGGCATACCATTTGAAGCTGTTAAAGGTGTATGTGTATGTGTGTGTGTGTGTGTGTGTGTGTATATATGTATGTATGTATGTATTGTATGTCTATAAACACAATGGGGTATGTTTTGCTGATAAGGTGTTCTGTTTAATGATTTTGGTTACTAAGAAGTCAAAAAGTATACTCTAAAGAACTCAAAAGCCATCTTACTGATTTGGAAATTCCTTTCAATGAAGTAGATGATGTTGTAGGCTTTTCTTGGTTTCTCTTAAACATTGGGAGAGTAAGGTCTGAAATTTTTTCTACACCTTTGGTATCTTCACCTTCTTTAGATACTTTGTAAATTTGTACCTCAATGCCCTTATAATTATATTAATTGCATCACAGATCTCTCTGTAAACTTGTTGCAATTCTGTTGCCTTCAGTTTATTTGTTTTCCTTAGTGCCATTTCTACTTTCTCTCTAAGTGCCTCAGGGACTGTGATGTTAAGAGTCCAAGTATGGTGGTTCCTTGGTGACAAAAAAGTTATAATAATTTTTGTAAATCTCTTCCGTTTTTCTTTGTTTGTCCTTCTTGTTTTCATTCTAGAATGCCCATAGGATGATTTTGCCTAGTTGTATGTTTTGCCAAACTTTTTTTGGACTGGTTTTATCATCCATTATTTATCTCTGCTTTATGAGATGCTACTGCTCATGATTGTTCATCCTCCTTTATTGTAAGATTTTACAGATGAGTTTTTGGCAACTGTCTCCATTTGGCAAGTAAATCATCAAATGTTTGCTGACTAAGGCTCTTTTGGTCTTGATGTAGCAATTAATTTACATTGATTTAACTGAATGAAATTATCTTGGTCTGTAACTGTTAATAGAATTTCTGTTGTTCATCTTCCATTTTTTATTTTTAATAGCTTGTTTAATTCAGGGTTAAATCTTCTTAATTGTATGCTATAACTTTTTCTCATTTTTTCTTCTCATTTATTATAAATTATAGTCTTAGCTCTCACAAGTTGATCGTTCAGTGGTACACAGACATCTGACTCATGGATAACACCCTAGGTCCATAGTAAGTCTTTTCGTGTCAGTTAAAATGTAGTCATTTTCATTCTTTGTGACCTTTTTTGGTGCTCACTATGTCCAGTGCTTACCAATTCTATTTTTGAAGAAAATATTCATGATATAGGGGCACGAGGCTTCTGATAAATATGATCAGTCTGTAAATTTCTGGGCACTCTTTCTTCTGAACTATGGCTTTCCATATCTTTCCATCCTTACCATTTTCTACCTTTTCATTGAAGTTGCTGAGTAATAGGGTATATGTTAATTTGATTTTTAAGTTCTTCATAGAATTTATCACTTCTTCATCCTCAGGCATTGATGTTGGCATGTAAGCTGCAATTATTTTTACGATCTTTTTGCAGATTCTTATGATTTGTACTGCAATCGTGAAGGCCACATATCCAATGCAAAAAGGTTTCCTGCAGCTTTTAAACTTTTGATAAATTCCACTCTGCCAACTCCTTTCCTTGCTTCTCCAAGGAGTACCTGTTTGTTAGCCTTCCATTTAGTTATAAAGTGTTTCTTTCTTGTATCAATATCAAGATTGATGTGATTCTTATCCTCCAGAAATATGTTTACTTTTTGTTAAGTGGACAAAGATCTTACATTTAGAGTAACAACAATCAAGTGAAAGCTTGTTGATGGTCTGCAATTTGTGTGTTTCTTAGTACCCTCTGTACCCCTTCCTGTCACTTTGTGCCTGTGTCACTGCTGAAGTGTAGGGAGGCTGTAGATTGAAAGCCATTTTTATTTTCCCCTGTTTTGCAGATTGCCATGGTCAAAAAAAGCTTCCTCCCCAGGTGGTTTACTATTCCACTGGTGATATCTCTTCTCCATGATTAGCTAGGGTGGTCCTTGAAAAGAGATTCAATCCATTTCTGGGGCCATACTTGACACTCTTCCAGCATGGTAGAACCTGCCAGGGTTTATGTTTGACTAGCATAGCCTTGGAGAGTCCAGAGATAACTCCACACCACAGTGAAGCATCAGAATAGGCATTCCATGTGTAAATAACTATGACCCTCTGTTTCTCTAATATGTATATACATTTATTTTCTTCCTAATTTCCTTTCTTTCTTTCTTTCTTCCTTCCTCTTCCCTCCCTGTCTCCTTCCCTCTTCCCTTCCTTCCATCCTCCCTCCTTCCTTCCTATCTATCTACATATGTATCTATCTTCTGTTTATCTCCATATACAGTTTCCCAAAAGTTTTAGTACAGTCTTAAGCATTAATAACTTCAGAAGTATAAGTGCTGTAAATTTACAAAGAACATCATTTGAATTATTTAAATCTTTTGCATTTATTTGGTTTTGTGAATTTTGAATAATACATTTAAGTTTTAATATTTTAATTTTTTGTTTCATGTCCTCTTAAAGCCAAGATCTTAA